TCTCACGGACGTGTCACGACAGAAATAGCAGTAAAGATCAATACTGTGAAATTATGATCATCTTGCTGTTCACGATCAGAAATGGAGGATGAGGTTCCAAAGACCAGGAACACTGTTCTTATGAAGTACGATATACTCTCGGCGGTACTTGAAAATGTTTTCTATGTGAATGTTGATGAACGCTGAAATTTGAATTATCTATCTTTAATGTAATATTAATTCTTTTATACGCAGTAACTAAGCCAGGATATTTACAATGATAAATGTTTACCTTTTAAAGTAGTTGCTAAACTTGCTTCATAAATACGAGAGTAGAGCCTAATATACTGAAACCCCATTAAAAAACAAAACAAATTGTAATTCATCCAATTCAGAATTACACAATAACGCCCCTTTGTAATTCAGTATTTGAGGTTACTGGTTGAGATTTTTTATCTCCAAGCTTAAATGAATATTCACAAATAGTAATCACCAAATTTCAAATCTCTCAGTTTGTGTAAATCCATATAGGGCTACGCTAACTAGTTGTTTGTATCATTTGCTCCTTTCGAAAATATTGTTGGTTTTTGACAATTTGTTTATTGTTAACTAACTGCAAAAGAAATAAAGAAACAAACTTCTGTGCTCAATTCAAATAAAACCGGTTTACCTTTTCTATACTTAAAAAGCGTACAATAGTAGTCACTAACGAAAGATAAGAAGCAATTACTACTATGATTAAACTTACATGTCATGGGAAGGATTAATTAAAATGGCGACGTTCCAGAGTTCGATGGGATTTGTTTTTGTATTAAGTTCAGGTATGACTCAATTGTAGCAATAAGTATTTATATGCAGATATATATCCGGTAAAAAATGTTGATCTTAGGTAAAAACTTTCTGGAATATTTTAATAAACCTTTACTAAGTCGCTCCATTAAATAACAACATTTTCTAAGTGCATCATGTGCAAAACCAAGACATATGAAAGAGTAAAGACTACACAAGATCTCCCCCGGAATGTGGTATTATAACATGATATTTCTACTAAAAAATCATAATGTAATTATCAGATGCAAAAATTATTAATTCAAATTAAAGATATTTCCGAAACTTGTGAACATTTCCGTCGGTAGGTGTATTTGTTAAAGTCATTTGTGATACTTTCCTGGAAAATCTAAGGTATGTTACTGAAGGTCAGACAACAGTTCACTTCTACTCCAAGCACTTACTGTCATACAGAACTCAAAAGGTTTATTTAAAACTAAATGAATGTTTGTTTGTCTATCAGATTAGGAATGTTTCTACTGTATGAGGTCTAAATTCTTTATGCTGCCCACGCGTGGCATGTGAAGCAACGTGGGTTGGAATATAAGTGCGCGCTGTTTTTCTCTTTTCTTGTACGAAAAGACTTGTAAAATGAGAAGCCTGTGAAATCACCAAGCCTAACATATGGATTGAAATGGATTCACTACTGAATACCCTGGAAACAGAATATTTTCTGAAGCAAACAGTTAATGCCGAATACAAGTAAACACTACTATATTTATTTTACCTTCACGGTTGATCCACAAAGGCAGAAGAAGAACAAGTAAAGTCGTTTGAAGGATTCGGTGAATTTTCTAATGTATGATGCCCTCTTCACTATCAGAAATTACAAGCATTATTAGAAAGAGATCAGAAGGCACGCAGTAAAGCCAGAGATGTCTCGAAGACTGCCGGAGAGTACGATTTACAACTAGAATAGATTAGTAAGAACTTTTTCCCTGATGTTAGGCTTTCCAATTCTTATAATGTCCGAATTAGAGCCAACAAATGAGGAAAATACGAGAATTATCGCAGAAATAGCAAACTTAATACTATACGTTCAGGTGTTGGATGCTTGCCTTTTAGATATTTCTAAACTATTCTATATTAGTGCTATTAAAATAATATTTTAATATTATATATATATCAAATAAACTTTTCATGATAGAAATCGTTTATCGTGAGGCTGCATAACTACAACGTAACACTTTTTTTCTAGAATTTTCGAGTCAATAAGGAAAAACACAAGACAGTCACAAGAAAAATAAACAAAATTACGTAACTATTAAACAGATTTGAAACAGATGTGTAATAGGAGCGGTTAGCAGTTGCTTCATATATTTAGTTTTTGAAGACACACCGATTACAATCGCTACTAGGCATACGTACACTGCATCTCGCGAGGGCGCAGAGAGAGATGATGCTATTAAGATACTGTACTGTTCTATTATGTTAAATATATACATCTAACGTAATTCGAATTAAATGTTAACTTAACTCTTATTATTATTGTTTATGACGTTCATTTAGGTTAACAAAAACAAATAATATTCCGTTTTTGCCTTCAGTGTTACTGTTTAAAGAACTGATAAAATATGTTAATATATAGAGCAGAAGAAATACAAAAGGAAAACACAGGCGTTGTATGTGAATTCGACCCTCAATCAGATAAGAATAAATAGTACGTTCTATCTTTGGCCTAAATCTATTGTAAAATGCAGTCCTGAAGAATAAGAAATATGTTGAGCATTGCAAAAATGTAAATAATTATATCTATGTATATTTTGACATAATTTCCAATACCAATATAGTGTGAATGTTTTTAAAGGTTAAATGGAAAAAATAAACTTCTTTTGTGTTTATTTCTAAGTAACTTTTTGAAGAAAAACTAGAAAAAGAGCTATCTTTAGAAACGAAAACGTTCTATATATCAAACATCTGCATTTATTCCCTTGAATAAATTACAAGCCCGCACTTTCAACTGCATGTAATGCACGTAATACCTCCATTGCTTATCGATTTATGGAATAAGGTGGTTAGTGAAGAAAAATCGGTACATTTCCTCGTTTAAAGGAAATACGATGAAATCCTTCAAAGACATCACTGAATGTATGGACATTTTTTCAATAGCAATAACGGTAGATACAATTTTCAAAACTAAATGTATAAGTGCGAAGAGAAATCATCGAAAAACTCAAATAACCCACATATTAGTTTTTAACATGCCTAAAAAAATCTTTGTACTAAAAAACGTTCTTGATAGAGAAATCAGAAAAACATTCATTGAAAAGTCAGATAAACCAAATATTGGTTTTTAACATGCCTAAAGTCTTTCCACTAAAACGTCAGAAGAAAATATCCCCATGTTTCATCTTCGTTCAACATATTCTGATTGAACAAAGCATTATGGCAATTGAAGTTCATGGTGTTTTAATTGTATATAGCATAATCGAATTAATTGATATGAATAAGTAAAATTTTAACAGACGTAGGTAGTGACGGAAATTAGTTATAAGCATGTGTACATATCTCAAGAAACTTAAAACTTACCTAGATACTCAACGATCAAAATAATGCTACATGTACATTACATCAGAATCTACAGTATACGACTGAAGACATTTTTTCTAAGTCCGGGAAGAATAGTCATATTTTTGTTTTTAACACTACAAAACACGTAAAGTATTTATATTTCTGGAAGCGGAAAATAAAATAAACACCTTCTGTACATTCGGTCTACAATTATGTAAAAATTAGACAATAAGTTCTTATTACAACAGAACAAGATTTGGTATTCAAAGACCAACAAATGCATAATAAGACTCCATTATTTATTAATTATCTTTAATCATAACTAATATAAAAAAAGAAGATATTGGAAGACAAATAATTAATACATAATAAGAGGATACAGTTAAGTATGGAGAAGCTTTCATACCTCATTAGAAGTACAGTTCGGTCGGGAAATTTCGTCATCCAACCAAAACTGAACTGAATCCTACCATCATAGGTTAGATCAAAAATTTCCCTCCCCTATTCGCGAGTCTATTTGAACGCATATTATGCATTATAATTAAACTCTAGAGCTAAAGTTTCATGCATCCTCGTTTGAGCCGTGAACGTATACGTTGACCTTACTTTAACAAATATCACCTAATACTTCGTCTTACTACAATGCTAAAATTCAGTTTACAACTGATGCTCTAACCACAGTTGTTGTTTTTTTTCAGAACATTCATTCAGTCTGTTTTCAGCTTCCTGTAAACTTTATAAAAACATAATATCCACCTCTTGACCTATAAGATTAGCGGTAAGTACACTTGTTTCTAAACGAATAACACAATTGCAGGAAAGTTGTACTCCAAAACATTGAAACAAAACACATTTTTCTGGCTGCGTCAGATAGTCTCACAAATGCTAAAAGGAACACTAAACACATTGTTCTATAGTCGATTCCACATATAAAATATGATGCAAAGATTAAATTTCAACAATTTGGTAACTATGACTACTATTAGTAATTAAGCTTTTGTCTCGAATCTTGGTCACTAAGTTTAGAAACACGAGAGAAACGAATTTCACGTTAACTGATAGCAGCTGCAGTGTGAAAGGTACAGTATCATATAAATAAAAATACACTCATGGATATGAAGCAAGTTTTTAATCTAACGTTAGTACATTAAAAATCATTTTTAAGTATAGTGTAAATATAACACTCAAGATCTATCCTTTTAAAACCATATTAGAATTTATAAACACACACACACAAACATTTTTTCTCTAGAGATGATCAAGGATTAAATATGATTTCCTGACAATTATATATGACTACCTGAT